CCGAATTTGCGCTCCTTTACATGGCAGCTGTAGTAGACGTCGCAAGGCCCCAGACATTCTTTGCCTTGCCCCGTCCAACGCATTTCTTGGATGGCGGTGATGTCAGCTTTTGTCCTTACGAGGACATCAACCAGCCGGGCAGAGGCACCTTCCCCATTAAGGGTCCGGACGTTCCAGGTGCATGCCCTAAAATCGTAGTCCTTTAAACGTTTGCCGTGGTCGTCATCATAAGGGGGGGTCTCATCCGAGGCTTTGCCTTGCTTCTTCACTGGAAGTGCTTTTTACGTGGCGGGTCCAAAGCCCAGCGCACAACCCATTGCTGGGACGGGGGTGGTTTCGCAACCAACGCTGTAGACTTCAGTGAGCCCTTAAACCGAATAAGTCGAAGTGGCCCCACTGAAGCTCCCTCTCTTTCTGCCGTAACCCAAGGCTCCACTCGGATTGGTTACCGCATCTCGCACATGGGTTGCTCACGTTGCCCAGAGTGCGCGAACGAGGACGCAAAAGTCGGGATTGAGTATAGCCATGCAACTGTAACAGCATACCCAGCGCAACGACTATACCCCATCGCACTCCAGTCGGACAGACAGACATGGCTTAATCGATTTCTCTTTTCATTCTGATCATTTATGTATACATTTGTCTACATCTATCTCGATTCGTTTTGGCTGTTACAAACAACCGTTATGTGAACAAAATTAATATACCCTTGTGCACAAGTGCGCTCGGGTATAAAAAGATACTCGATTCACATTCGTGGGCTAGAGTCTTCACAATACAGCCCCTCCGCTAGTCCAGCCATACTTGACTTATCTTCGACGAAAAGCCATGCAAAGTTGAACCCCGGGCAGTCTGCGGGTGTTCAAGGTTTTACCCTATCGCTAAGTTGGAATATGCAAAAACGTGTATACATAAAAATTTTAGAAAAACGTGATTATTAAATTGGGGGAAAAAATGCTTTGCTTTCGGATCGCTCTTCGTGACGGATGACATTGTCACGGCCGGATGTCAGATGCATGGAACCTACCCATCGGTTTACCATTCAACTCCTCTAAGTCGTACAAAGCATTGTCTACCTTTCGCAGAACACGAAACTTTATGTATTTAGGCAAGAATTTTGCATTTATGCCTTGCTTAAAATTGCAAAGTTTTTCCGGAATAAGTACTTCTTGTCCTTGCCGGTAATTCACAACCCTGGTACGTTTGTTGTAAGTGTTGGCAGCTCTGTCTTGCGCTGGCTCACGGTTCTTCCATATGTGTTCGCGAATGATTGCTAGTTTGTCAGCTCTGCTTGTAATCGGGACTTCATCTTGTCTTAGGCTACCCAGTTTCTCCAGTATGTTATGAACTGACGCATGCTGTATCATATTTTGTCCAAATAAGGCGAAGTATGGCGAGCTCTGAATCGACGTATGGTAATCGCTTCTTAAAACTGACAGAATTTCGGGAATATGTTTGTCCCAGTCCATGTGATCTTGCTTTTCTTTCAGAAAGATTATAACTTTCGAATCAATCTCTCTATTCACTCGTTCAGAGGCATTAGTCTGCGGTGAGTGTAACCCCGTCTTAATGCGAACAATCCCGCAGTTTTTAAAAAACTGTTGCATCTCCTTCGGAATGAATTGTTTCCCGTTATCACTATGGACGAATTGAGGCATCCCGAAAGCTTGAAAAATCTGTGTACTAAAGAAGCTAATTACATTAGCCGACGGTTGGTTTTGCATCGCCTTCAAAAATACGTATTTGGAAAAATGGTCTAGCACTATGAACAAAAATTGGTTTCTTCGCGTTGATCCTGGATATGGTCCTTAGAAATCGCAAGCCTCTGGAATGGCCTCTCGGATACGAAGGCATTTCCCATAGGTGGTCTGTACCCTTGATTGGTGGCTTTCACGGCTTTGCAGGTTTCGCATCGGTTCACATAAAGGCGTATGTCCTTTGCCATTTGCGATCAAAAATATTTCTGCCGAACACGCTCTAAAGTTTTCTGCCAACCTCCATGGTATCTAGCATTGGAATCGTGTGAGCATTTGATTGCAAGCTCGGTTTTTGCTTCCGGTAACCACAAACGCCAGAGCGAATCCTCTTCCTTTTCCACACCTCTTCGAAACATCACTCTTTTGTAAACTCTATTGTCGACTATGTGTAGATCGGGTAGCTCTTCGTAATTTTTTTTAATTGTTTCACGAAGATTCGAATACTGTACGCCGTCGAATTCCGGTGATGCAAAGGTGTAGTACAAGACAATTCGTCCACGTCAAAACGCGAAAGGGTGTCCGGCACACCATTTAAAGAACCTTTGCAATGCTCCATCCTAAAATTGTATCATTGCAATAAAAGTGACTATCTTGCCAGTCACTATCTTGCCTCATGTCTTTTTGTGTTATTAGCCACTTGAGACTTGAATGTTCAGTAATTATCCGAAAAGGCTATCCTTCAGTATATGGTCTGAAACGCTTCACACTAACTATTGCGACGAGGCATTCCAGCTCCTACCCCTATTTTGGATGCATCACATTTGATCATGAGTGAATCGTTAAGTTTGCCAAATGCTTCGACCACCTCCGGAATTAACTTAAATGGACCAGGGGATTTTCGGAGGAATTCTGTCATGGGACCAGCCAAATCTGCGAAATTGGTAATAAATGAACTGTATCAATTTGCCATTCCTATCAACCTAGGAACCTGACCAGGAGACTTTGGAATCAGAACATCCATTCCCTATCAGGTACCCGAGATACCGAACTTCCTTCTGGCAGAACTTGCTCTTCTTTACGTTGATAGTGAGTCCTACATCCCGTAAGCATTTCGCCACTTCCTTCAGCATTTCCAAATCCATCACGTCATCCAGGTAGACGAAGACGTTTTCCCGCAATCTCGAAGGAATAGCTTTATCTATCAGCCGACTCTTTGTTTTTGGTCCTTTGCACAAGTTAAAGGGCATTACTTCAAGTGGTACAATTGCTTTCCTGGGACCGCAAATGCCGTCTTTTCTTTAGACGATTCCGTTAATTCGATTTGAAAGAAAGCCTCCCTCAAATCAATACCACTTATAAAGTATGTATCCTTTAACCTGCTCAACAGCCCATTAATATAGGGTAACGGATACGACTCCTTCTTGGTGACCGCGATCACCTTCCTGGAATCTATGCACAGCCTGACTTTGTCTGGTTTCCGGACTAACACCACAGGACTACACCATGGTGGATTCGACTCCTCAATCACTCCCATATTGAGTAGCCCTTCAATTGCACTATATGCTTCCGCTTGCCTCGGCGGGGAAAGAGAAAAATGCATGCTTCTAATCGGCACTGCATCACCCGTGTCTATATGGTGAGTCACTAAACTGGTTTGACCTAGTCCTAGCTTTTCGAATGATGGAAACTCCTGTACTTCTTGCGATGCTATTTTCGTATCTGGTGTGAGATGATGGAAATTTGGGTCATCTTCATGTGGAAGGGAGTAGTGATATGCTGAGTCAATACTTTTAAGTATTGATCGATATTCGGTACCGATTTAAAAGGTATCCAATACCCTCGACACTCGGTACCGAAACATTGAAGTTTCGAATAAATGCGCACATAGGTCAAAAATATGTAAAAAAAAAACCGTTCAGGGGAGACACGCCTATCAAAACAAGAATGTAGGAGCCAATAGAGCTCAGAGAACTGATTCAAATGAAAGATGTATATATGCCGGTTCGAGGCCATAATGTAGAGAAACTCTTCCTTGTTAGAAGCATTTTTGTTTCAGCTAAATCGGACGATATCATTTTTGTAACCAGGCCTACAGATTCTGTAATATGTTTGAATCGGTATCGGTTTTGTTGGTGTATGATATGAAATATTTTTACGTCAACAAGTGCGATATCGCTCCGAAACTTGTCGCTAACTGGTTACAGATTCTCACCCCTGAAAGGCTTCTTCATCCGTCAAAGCATTTTTCTTGAACCTTGGATCGAGTAAGGTTAAAACTGATAAAATAATATTTCTCTGCTGCGATAAGTTCAAATGTTTTATCATATAAATTAGTAATGAAATTTTTTTCTAATAATAAAAGCTTTTTCTAACCTTGAAATGCATATAATGGCGAAGGTTTGATGTAAAAAATCGGTATCGGGTACTGAAAAGGAAGTATTGGGTACCGAAATCTTTTTTCAGTATTGGGTACCGACAATTCAGCACATCACTAGTTGGGAATACATCGGGGGCTAACGCAAATGCCTTCCAGAAATCAACTCCCAGGTATGCCTCTTGGATTAGTAAAGGCGGATAGTCCTCGTAATGTTTTTAAAGGTAACCGATAAAGATATCGAGCCGAGTATTTTCTGCTGATTTTCGCCAGCGGTGTAAACAAACACGGGAAAAGGATTATATTTTAAATTTTTTCCTTTTAGGAATTCTTTACATCCATTTCCAAGAATGGAAACGTTTTCTCCGGAATCCAATATACCAAATATGAGACTATCGTGTTTTTTAATCCAGTCTTTTAATGCAGTCTTTCCTCTGGCGTTATACAAATTTTAGGGCTATGCAGAAGTTTTCGCATATCTACTCGGCTAGAGTATCTTGTCATACACTGTAGAATATTTTCAGAAACCACAAATTTGGGTTCTTCTTGGAAAGTATCCGCCCTTATCCGTTCATAATCCTATTATCTTTGCTCTAAACTAACTGGGAATTGAGTCTGGCAACATACACTCGGATTCAGAACTATCGGAACTATCTGGGAAGGTTATAATGACCCGTGGCGACACTCGATGGACTGGTGCTACTCTCCGAACTACTGATATCTCCATGCAAAGGATCGTTTCTGGCTGTGAGTGCGCTACTTTTTGGTTAAGGACAGGAGGCTACTGCTCCTATACTCCCCGCTTCGTGCCCCGCTTCGTGCCTTCTCGCTCGGGTTCCGGTTTCCCTGTCGTCGATGATCTATGGGGCATCTTGGAGTGACCACCCCCTTCTATCCACACATGAAGCAGAACACGTTCCGAATCACTTCCTCGAAATATATATAACAGTGTCCTATCTTGTCACAGCTCCAACACTGTATTCCTGAGTAGTCCGGTTTCCTAGTCCTCTGGAAATTTTGCGCTTCCACTTGTGGATTACCTTCTCAATCCATTCCTCTTGTCCATTCATCCGGTGTCATAGCCATGGTTTCGTTGACATGCCGTCCTGAATAGTTCGGTACCAAGCTCCTGGTTTCCTTCAGGATCTGTTCGCCTTTCATAGCAACATCACGTATGTCATGTAGGGTTTGCGCACCAGCATTGAAAAGCATCAAATTCAGGCTACTGTTGACATTCCTCTTCAATATTTTCTCTGTATGAAACGTATCATACAGGTCATTAGCCTTCTGACGACGAGTATCATGATCTCATGGTCACTCTTTAAGGTGCTGAATTCTCGCCTGATAGAATAACACAAAAAGGGATAAGTCGCATCTGGATTTTGCCTAGTGAACCACCAGTACCATTCCTCAGCTCGCCCTGACAAAAATAGGTGGAAGCTTACCATTAACTCTTCGTTAGTACATTGCGTGCGCTCACACAACGTATTTAGTTTAAAGAGAAAGTCCCAAACACTTCCCGTGCCGTCATAGGATACCCTCCAATCCTGTGGCTTAATGACAATATTGGTAGTGAAATGTGGTCGGTTATTCAAAGTGCCTTGTGTCGGATTGCGTCTGACAGAAGAAAACTTCCTAGGCTCATTGGGTGCGGTTTGAGATGCAGTTACTACTGCACTTAATGCGTTCATATTTTCTCGCATTGTTCTCATTTCAGCTGTCATTTCTTCTTGCGAAGTACGTAAGAGCTGATGTAGCACCCCCACGCACGAATCTACTGCATACATAGTCATGGAGGTAGCGGAAATATTCTGGACCGAAGTCCCGGGCGGTGAGGTTTCAAGTAAATTGGAACTTTTACGGCTACCAAACCGGAGCGGGATTGGCCATTGGAATTGGAGGCGCAACTCCTCCAGTATAGTCAGAAAGAGGTGAATACATCACCGGACGATTATTTGCTGGCATAGCGGGACTGGTATTCCTCCCGGTCCCTCTTGACTTAACGCCACTACCTCTAACTGAAGCACTGCGCGTTTGTATAAGCTGCCTATCCATCACGCGAGTGATCTAAATCGAGCCAAAGACAGATATGTATATCAAAAATGTTGTCTCTTAAGGCATCCACACACCTATGCGATTCTGTCGCAACGAATCAGCACCGTTTGTGATGCTACACGCGTTACTGCTTCAAAAACGCAAGTACGCACACATTTGTGCGATTTTATCGCAGCAAAAACTGTCAATTTATAGACAAACAAAAATAAAATTCTTAACTTTTCTATATCAAATATGTTTTGTTTTCTTACGGTTAATTTTGTTTTAATATTGTAAAATCCTTCCAAAAGAAGAACTGTGAATATGAGAATAAATCGCTGCAGCAAAATCGTACAAGTGTGTCGTTCCTCATTTAAAACTATGGTCGGCATTGTTGTAATTTTTGTCGGAACAAATTCGCACCGACAGAATCGCGTAGGTGTGTGGATACCTTTAAAGTCGAGACAAGTTCAGATTAAAATCTTTCATTGTGCGTAAGGCTTGGCTCCCCCAGAGCTCAAACCAAATCGAAAGTCCGAGGAAAAAATGTTTATTAAGTTAGGCTTGCTTTGATAGCCTTAGCTTAATTGAAAGTCCGAAAAAAATTCAAAATAAAATAAAAAATAAAAAATTCGAGATTAAGCCAAGTGCTGCGGTTACCGAACCCGATCGCGACAAAAAAAACAAAAATATCAATCATAAAGGTATCCACACACCTATGCGATTCTACTGCAACGAATCTGCACCGTTTTTGATGCTACAGACGTTACTGCTGCGAAAACGCAAGTACGAACACATCTGTGCGATTTTATTGCAGTAAAAACGGTCAATTTATAGACAAACAAAAAATATTAAAAAAAAAATAAAATTCTTAACTTTTCTACATCAAATATGTTTTGTTTTCTTACGTTCAATTTTGTTTTAATGTTGTAAAATCCTTCTATTGACCTTTTTAGTTCTCAAAACGCGGAGTCTGCGATTTCGGCACGACCAAAAGAAGAACTGTGAATGTTCGAATAAATCGCTGCAGCAAAATCTTATAAGTGTGTGGTTCCTCATTTAAAACTATGGTCGGCACAGTTGTAAATTTTTTCGGAACAGATTCGCACCGAGAGAATCGTATAGGTTTGTGGATACCTTAATTATTCAGCCGCGTACTGAATATAAATATACGCACGAAACAGCAAAAAATCAATAAAAAAATATTTTTATTAAATAGGCATATCAAGTGGGTTAGTTGAATATATACATGGTCATAGACGTGTAAGGGAAAAGTCCAATTGGGGTATGGTTGATTATTTAATATATTTATCAAGATCAATGGGAATGCTGACCCCCCTAATATTAGGAAGGCACAGGTCTACGAAAATTAAGATACAACACATAGACAAAAAAAAAACGTTATCGCTATTTGGTCCAGCACACCCATCCGCAATAAAAAGCCGGCATAGTGGAATGCCCCTTCAGAGTTGAAGGGTGTACTGGCCTTCGCGTACAAGTTGCTGAACTATCTTTCGGTCTCAGTGCATCCCACCGCAATGCAGCAAAGGGCAGTTTACGCATGCCCCCCGAGACATGTGGGGTGACTGAGACCCAGATAGTCAGTCGTGGTTGGAGTCCTCCATCGCGATACGTAGGCACTCAGTAGCGCCAGCGCCGACCTATGGAGTGAGCTGGGTTCAAAAGAAAAATTTATATATATTTATTTTTTTTTTTTTCAAAAGGAAGAGGTTCAACAAAAAAAAGAGAAAAAAAAACAATTAAAAATCTATGTAAACTAAACTTCACTTAGCGGACTAAATTTATCCCCAATTCCCATGCCCACATATCGGACCACTGAACAAAGTTGGAGAAAAAAAATTCAACCTCCAAAAAGCTAAGTGCGTTTATCACTGCCTCACCGGGTGAATTCTAAACTCCGGGGGACGTGACGTGAAGTCTCGGAGAAGCCTTCAGTTGCTGACCAAGAAGACCGATCCGAACCAGACACTCAGCTCCATTCATCCCGCCGCAACGCAGCAAGGGACAGTAAATACATGCCCCCCTGGGACTTGCGGGTTGGTGAAGCCTCATGTGCCAGTCAGGACCAGTCAACCTGACCAGACCTCAGGCTACCCCGTTGGGCGCCAACTGTTATGGCACGCATACTGTGAGAGCGGTAGTGAGTGCAGGCGGCATGACACAAAGGGAGCACTGTGGCTAGTCATGGCGGCTAGGCTGGGTTCTTGCCTTCACCTGCAGGGAAAAGTCTTGCCTTAAAAAAATAAAAAAATAAATAAAAAAATTAAAAATAATAAAATTTAAATAAAGCAAAATAAAACGAAATTCAATTAACGGAGAATTCAATCAAGTTAATAAAAAATTAATAAACACTTTATAAAATAAAAATAAAAAATTAAATCAAATAAAATACAACCAACTTAAATTGAACAAAATTAAATTACCTTTAAATTAATTAAATAAAAGAAATGTAAAACCAAAACAAACTAACC